CGCTGACAAGGCATATGCACTCAAGTCAAGATTCGTAATAACCGCAATGCTGAAAACGGAGGGTGATGGCTTTCAGGCGTCTGTTACTACCAGTAAGAGATTTTTTCTGTTTTGTTTATTTTGATTTAGATCATCTGTGCGTTTTTTTGATAGCTTACAGATGAAAGTTTGTTCATAACAACGAATAGCTCACCAAGAGATAGAGCTTTCAGCTGTCACATTTCACAGACTAAACCAATGAGGCAGACCTGAATAAAGTCTAATAGTTTAAATCAGTTTATTCGATTGAAACATTCGACTATGGATGCTAAGGTGGATGATTCGAAATGAGTCAAGGTTAGCATCAGCGAAATTAAAGTAACTTTTTCGCATCGTCTTCCAAAACAGATTTGCCTACGCCTTATATCTCGATGGTGCAAGCTAACCTCGTCCTCGGTCTATATTGTTTCTCTGTCGCCAACGAAAGTTGCAGAGTGCGAAACTAGAGCTGACTAATGAAACCAACAATCGTGATAAATCACTGATCTAAAGGAGAACTTTGTTTTAGTTGTAAGCAGCACTCTATCTACGCCAAGTACTACTCGACTGATCCTCAACGCCAATGGTGTTTCTGTGAGACAGCACGAACGTTATATCAATAAAGGTATGCTATCAATAATGACGATGGATTCGGTGACATTTTAAAAGTACGCCTGTATAACTATGTTGAATCCGTATTTATAGTGTGTGTAGAACATCACTGATTTATCATGTACGTTGTATTCACAGCTTGTAATGCTTTATGCACAAGACTCCTGTTTTTGCGTCTTGAAACAAATATTCATTTCCAAAACCAGATCTCCCAGACTCTTATTCTTTCAGGTTCCAATGTAGAAACAGGCACCATGCATTGCCTAGAAGGCGCATAATCTGGAGAGGATGAACTGTAACTTTGAGACTGGTACAGTTTTCAGTAACCATAATTCACTGAACGTTCTTCGTAATTAACGAAGATGACCATTATCTGATAACGATGCGTAACCTCGTCTATAATTATTCTTGTAATTTTTTATACTTCTCTTTTCCTGTCTTACTTTCTGCTCATCGTTGCAT